CCCCCACTCAGCCCCGCCCTCGCCCCGCCCCCCTAGTCGCGACGCTCTCTAATAGTTCCACCTCTTCCTGCCCACCCTGCTGGATGCCGCCGGCCTTGCTGCCCAGCTGCCAACTCTCCCTGCTCCCCCTGCTCTCCCCACCCCGCCCGCCTCCTTGCTCTCCCTCCTCTCCCTGCTCTCCCTCCTCTCCCTCCCTCCCTCCTCTCTCTCCTCTCCCTCCTCTCCCTGCTCTCCCTGCTCTCCTTCCTCTCCCTCCTCTCCCTCCCCTCCCTCCTCTCCCTGCTCTCCCTGCTCTCCTCTCCCTGCTCTCCCAGCCATCCTGTCTGGTCACCCTTGTGCCCAGCCCTGCCCCTGCTCCTGGCAGGCTGTCTTTGTGAGTGTCTCCTTGAAGCCAGCCCTGGGGACCGGCAGTGGCATACCGCCCAGCTGCCCAGTCTGGGGCGGGAAGATCCAGCCTGGCGCTGTGTGTGCCCAAGGTCCCAGAAGGACCCAGGAGAAGGGACTGCAGCGTGGCCATCCTCCCACCCCAGTGACTGCTAATTCTCCCTCTCACTGTCTCTGTCTCTCTCTCTGACCAGCCCACACTTAGGGTGCTAGGGCAAAAACCTCTACCAAAGAGCGACAGCCCAGATGAGGCATATACACACAGCAGATGCGGAGTCTCTCTGGTGAATGCGCACGTGCAGTGAGGAAACTTCCATGTAGTCGACCATGGTTTGAGTCCCGGACCCAGCGGCTTAAACTCACGCCTGGCACGTGTATGTGCGTGCCCAAGATCCTGAGAGGAGAATGGAGGAGAAGGGATTGTGGCATGGCCATCCCCCCAGGAGGGTGATTTCTCACTTTCTGTCTTGCTGCCTCTGTCTTTCTGGCGAGCGCACGTGCCCTATAGCAAAAACCTCTCCAAAAACTAATAATAATAATATTTTGTATTTGAATTATTTTACTCAACTTTATTTATTTACTAATTTTAATTTGACCAGAGAGGGACAGAGAGAGAGAGAGGAAGTGAGAAAGCAAGACACCAGGTTCAGGACTCGAACCCCAGTTGGCCATGTGGGAGTCCGGCACCCCCAACCACCATGCCACCTGCCGGCCCCTTATTTTTTAAAAATTAAAAATTATAATTAGTTTATTTTTTGAGAGATTTTTGCTCTAGGGCATGTACGCTTGCCAGAGAGAAAGCGAGAACTCACCCGGGCGTGGCCACACCGCAGTCCTCTCTGCTCTCCCCTGGGACTTTGCGCATCCAGGCACACGTGCCAAGTGTGATCTTCAAGCCCCCAGGTCTCAGACTTGAACCACGATCTGTCATGTGGGGGCCCAGCACCTTCACCATATCACCTGCAGGCCCCTGTTTTGGATTTTAAAATACCAGTTATAGGGGTTGGCAGGTGGCATGGTAGTTAAGGCATTTGGACTCTTATGTGGCTGAACACAGTTCAAATCCCAGACCTGGCAGCTTGCTTTCTCACTTTCCTTCTCTCTCTCTGTCTTTCTCTGGTCAACTTCAAAAAAATAAAATAAAATAAAATAAAATAACAATGAATAAAATAATTATTTTTAAAAAATAAATAATTTTTAAAAGAGCCAGCAGGTGGCGGGTTGTTAAAGGCACTAGACTCCCACATGGCCAGCCTTGGTTTGAGTTGCAGACCTGATGGCTTGCTCTCTCACCTTCCCTTTCTCTCTTTCTCTCTCTGTCTGGTCAAATTAAATAATAATAATAATAATAGATGGAATTAAGTAAATAAATAACTCTTTAAAAATAAATAAATAAAACATCAGTTATAGAGCATACGTGCAATGCTCCCAGCCAATATTCCTTTTCATGGCTTTTGCTGTCTTACATCCATTAAACCCATAATTTTTACTATAATTGATGCATATTTCTTCTTTTGAGAAAGAGAGATTTTTGCTATAGGATGCATATGCTGCTCGAGAGACAGAGAGAAGGGAGAAACCACTACAGCTTTTCATCCTGGTGTGGGGAGAATTCACATGACAGAGTGGCGAGCTGGTCCCCTCGTTCCAGTCACTGTTCTTGCAAGGACACCAGGCACAAAAGCAAATTGGTTGGAGTGATTTTCGTGAACAAGCGGTTTCCAAAGGGATTCTCCCTCCTCTACCCACCTCACCCCTTCTACCTCAAGGACAGGCGCTTGGACCCATTTGCTCTGCTTGGTGCTGCTGCGGAAAAAGCTGAGGTCCTTGCCCAGAGACCTGCATTCCATCCAAAAGAGCCTTGGGGGCGGCCGAGTGCGAGTGCTCAGCTGAAACAGCTCGGAGCCTGTACAGGGCGATGGGGCGTGTCATTAGTGTCAGTTTGGAAGGCAGGGGAGGACTCTTGGAGGAGGGGACACGGGCAGGGACCTGAGTAAGAAGTCGCCACCAGCAGGAGACCCTGTTCATGCCACTCCTTGGGAGTTCAGCCCCGGCTGTGCATTTTACACCGCGTCGGCTGTGAGCAGGCTGTTCTCACTTCACTGTGTGGTATGGCAGACTTTTAAAAATACAGTTAGAAATAAAGTACACCTACAATTGATGTAAATGCATACAGTTAAAACTCTGATGTTATAGTTTTAAACAAAAGAAATAATGACATTTTCCTAATTGATCTGTGCATCCCAACAATTTTCACATGTTGTCAGTTTCCGTTTCAAATCAGCTTCTAATATTTCAACCTTTATAAGTATAGTCAACATATTTTCTCATTAAAAAATCTCCATATATGGGACCAGCAGGTGGTGTGGTGGTTAAGGTGCTAGAAACTTCCACATGGCTGACCATGGTTCGAGTCCTGAGCCTGGTGGTGTGCTTTCCCACTTTTCTTCTCCTTTTGTGTGTGCGTGTATGTCTCTGCTTAAATTAAAATAGATGCATGAATAAATAAATTTTTAAAACTCCATATAAATAACGAGAGACAAAATGCTAATGACCATTTCATGTACTTGAAGATACCAGTACTCACTGGAAATAGAGAGAAAGAGAAAATGAGAAAGCAGAGCACAGGGCTTGGCTATGCCGCAATCCCTTCTCCATTTCCTCTTCCTTTTGAGATTCTTGGGCATGCACGCACATGCGCCCGGCAAGTTTCTTCAGCTGGTTGGTCTGGGACTTGAACCACGCGGTTGGCCATGTGGGCTCTTGCTGCCTTAACCACCATGCCACCAGCTGGCCAGATTTTCTATTTCTATTTCTTTTTTTTTTTTTAAAGAGAAAATTTTGCCTTAGGGCATATTCACTCGCCAGAGAGACAGAATGCAAGAAATCACCCCCCAGAGGGGATTGCAATGTTGCAATTCCTTCTCCTCTGGTCTCCCCTCAGGATCTTGGGCATGCATGCATGCCCGGCGTGAGCTTTAAGCTTCTGGGTCCAGGTCTCAAACCGCAGTCAATTATGTGGGAGTCCAACAATGTAACCATTATGCCATCTGCCGGTCCCCCAGATTTTGTATTTCTTAACAAGGTGAACAAGCTGAATGAGTTACTGATTTTATCAAGGTAAATAAATTCCTGAGCTTTCTTGATCAACAATATATGCTTATCAGGGTTTTTCCTTTACACACTGCAGAGCTATCACAGACGCTGTACTTGCACGGCCTGTTAGGACCACTTTCCTAACCCTGATCTACAAACAGCTGAAATGACACTTGGCTGTTAGTGCCTCATTGAGCAGAAGACCCAGATCTACTTGCGCTCTGCGGAAGGATGCGCCATCGCATGCCCTGCCCCACTCTCAGATTTTCTTCTGTAGACTTGCGTAGCTCCAGCTGCTGCTCTTAGGTGGATTTCGGTATTCAGGACGGATGATGCCACTGCCCTCCATTAAATTAAATGAAATATATACATTTTTGTTTTACCTTGAAATAGCAATGTTGAGAACCAGCAGTTAGCGTAATGGCTATGTCACTGGACTCCCATGTAGTCGACCACGGTTCGCGTCTCGGACCCGGTGACTTAAAACTCACACCGGGCACGTGTGCGTGCGTGCCCAAGATCCCGAGAGAAGAATGGAAGAGAAGGGATTGTGGCGTGGACATCCCCCCGGGGGGTGATTTCTCGCTTTATGTCTCTATGTCTCTCTCTGTCTGTCTGGAGAGCGCATGCGCCCTATAGTGAAAACCTCTCCAAAAAAAAAAATAGCAATGTTAGGTTTTTGTAAATATTTATTTATATGTA